CTCAAAAAAAAAAAAAAAAAAAAAAAAAAAAAGAATTCTTAAACTGGAGAGAGATTAACATGGTACACAAAGCATAGTTTCAAAAAAAAGGGCTTATGTAAGTAATTAACAGAAGACTTCCTTAACTGCACACAGTTAAAAGTCTTTCATTAAATGATTCTTGGGCTTTACAGACTACACTGAAATGCTGCATGTGGGAATTGCATATCTGGTCATATCACACCATCATTTATTAGTTTCACTTGCCATGTTTAGTCATGGGCCATAAACTATACATTGAGCTACATTTTAGAATGAGTGAATAGAAACAGTTAAAACATAAACACAACATTATTAGAGTTCAACACTGTAAAAATTTGAGTCATCTTGGACCTACAAATTTGATCACTGAGTTTTATAAAAACTTAAATTTACTGGTAAAGTTGGAAATGAGGCTTTAGGATATGGTTTATATTTAAGGTCACTTTCTCCTGAGTTTTTGTTTTTTAGCATGTTTTTCACAAGTGCTTTTTTTTTTTTTTTTATGAAGTTCTTACAAATCTTTTTTTATTTTTTTTTTTTTTAGATGTTTTTTTAGAGTTTTTTTTTTTTTTTTTTAATGAAGTTCATACAAATCTTGGAGAAGAAAGCCTGCTATAACCCTATGTAAAATGGAATGCTCCAGAATATGTAATATTTTTCTTAGGATCTTTTAAGGAAAGAATCAATTCATTTGTGTGATCTCTGCAAATTGTATGATGACATAATATTTATAAATTGGTATTGGTTTGAAATTTAGGTAATAAAACCATAGCCAAAAGGGCTTAAACATTGTCAAGCTCTCTTATTTTATGTAGATGGGGAAACTGAGAGCCTGGCAAGGTTGTTAACAGCAGTAGAATTGGGCATTAACTAAATCTCCTGATACTCTGCTGTTCATTACAATTCACTCTGCCATTTTAACGTAGGTGTTTGCCATTTCTCTTGATGACATCTTTAACTTTAATTGGCATAGTTATATTGCCCAAAATGCGGAAGTACTATTTTCTTAATTTGAACTGGTTCAAACGATAATAATTAATTGGTTTAAAAGTTACATCTCATTTGGTACCAAATGTCTGTAGTCATTCTTTGGACATTAGTCAGTAAAGAAACAGGCCCTCTTCCAAGGTGCTTGCATCTGAGTACCCAAAGCCACAGATATTTCACCATGGCTAGTAGAGGTGAATTCTGTTTTTTAGCTCTTTTAATTGATGACCTTAAGGCTATTTGTAATTTTTTTTTCTTTCAAAATTCAGGAATTTATCATGGTGCCATTAAAATCATTTCTTCATGTTATTCCCCTCACCCCAAAATTAAGTAGAGTCTTTAGTAAGACTCTTGATTTCATAATTTTGTAGTGTTGATATTTTTTCCTTGTAGGATTGGTGGTGATCCTCAGGAAATGGGGGAAGAGGCAGAGCAAATGTTCAAAAGGATTAGCAGATTGTGGAAAAAAGGAGGATTTGGACAGAAGGAGCCTGTTGCATAAATTCTTAACTACTAAGCTTATAGGAAAACTCCAATATTTAAAATTTTAAACAAAGCTATATAGGTAAATACCTTTTTAAAAACAAATGTCATTTTATACTTAAAATGCACATAATTTTTAAAAAACATAAGGATACTATACTTCCTCTCTTTTTCTCTGTGGTAGCTACTAACTTTAAATGAATACTTTTTGTTATAATCTGTTTTATTTGGGATGGTGATAAGGTGTGATTGCTTGATTGAAAGGAAAGAATAAAAATAAATTTGAAAGGAACAGTTATTTTTATATGACATAGCAGTATACTTATATACTTTTTTTTCTTTTCAGTGGCAAAAATTTCACCGAGTTTTAGTTTAAAAGTTAAGATCTGGTGATAACTTAAGGGTTAAGGTAGGAAAATGAGGACAACATACTGCGAAATAATTGCCACATTTAATGCTTTTTCATGTTAGAAATAGAAGTTACACTGTCTTATGTGTTTTTATCTCTCAGAGTTATGTTTTTGTTTTTTAGAGTCAAAGTCTCTCTCTGTTGCCCAGTCTAAGTGAAGTGGTATAGTCAAAGCCTACTGCACCCTCAAACTCCTGTACTCAAATGATCCTGCCACCTCAGACTCCAGAGTAGCTGGGACCACAGGCACATGCCACCATGCAGGGCTAACTTTTTGTAAAGATAGGGTCTTGCCATGTTGCCCAGGCTGGTCCCCACCTCCTGGCCTAAAGTGATCCTCCCAGTTTGGCCTCCCAAAACGCTGGGATGACGGGCTTGAGTCACTCTACTTGGCATGCCTCATTCTAGTGGTAGTTTCCAGTTTTTGTCATTTAAAGAAGCTCTATTTTTTCTTTAGTCAAAAGTATTCTTGAATTGTAAAAATTAGGGTTTTTTTTCCTCTTTAAACAATTTAAGCATACTCATTGAAAATCAAGACAAGCTTAGTTGATGTATATGCAGTGTTCAATTTGGTCATGTTAGCAGTAAACTGCTAGGTTTGCTTACAAGGCAGGTTTTTTAAGTGGTTCGTGACTCTGAGAGTAATGAATGATGTCTTGGACTGGCAGCATTCAGAAGACAGGATTATATTGGTTTATTTACTTCATGTTTATATCAGTTTATGCTTTCCTTTTTTTTTAAAAATGAAAGGTAGAGCATTTATTGTCAACTGAAAATTGTTCTGTTATTTTATTTTTAGGGTTAATCTGTGAAAATACTAGATGTAGAACAACATTCTTTTTTTACATGGAGTGTCTTATTTTTTATTTGCCTAATACTCTTTGGCTTTAAAGCATTTTCTGTCATAAGACTAAATTAAGACTATTTCATAAAATCATATTTAGTTACCTCTTTTTGCATTTTTCCTCTAGGATCTTTAATTTTTAATTGGCTTGCACCTCCATATTTTATGAATGGAATCAAGTGAGATACTTCTAAAATAACTCTGATTAATGCATTGACTTTAAGTGAGCCATTTTAGTATTAAATTTATTGGCAGATATCCTTATTAACAGTGTTTTTCATCTGTGTTATAAAGTATAATACATAAACCAATTCATAACACTGTAAAAACAGTATAAAAACACTGCAATATAGTTATATTAATTATTTAATAGACAATGTTA